CATGGGGGTGACCATGGGGGTGACCAGAGCCATGGGGTGACCAGAGCCATGGGGTGACCATGGGGGTTACCATGGGGTGACCAAAGCCATGGGAGTGACCACTGGATGACCAGATCAATGGAGGTGACCAAGGGGTGACCATGGAGGTGACCATGGAGGTGACTAGAGCCATGGGGGTGACCATGGAGGTGACCAGAGCCATAGGGGTGACCAGAGCCATGGGGGTGGCAGGATGGGGGTGACCAGAGCCATGGGGGTGACCATGGGGGTGACCATGGGGGTGACCATAGCTAAGGGAGTGACTAGAGTCATGGTGTGACCATGGGGGTGACCATGGGGTGACCAAAGCCATGGGGGTGACCAGAGCCATGGGGTGACCATGGGGGTGACCATGGGGTGACCAAAGCCATGGGAGTGACCAGAGCCACGGTGTGACCATGGGGGTGACCGTGGGGGTGACCAAAGCCATGGGGGTGACCATGGAGGTGATCAGAGCCATGGTGTGACCATGGGGGTGCCCCAGGCCCCGGGGGTCCCCACGGGGACAGGTCGCAGACCCTCACCGGCCCCGCAGCTTCAAGGCCTCCTCGAAGCGCCCCTCGTTCATGGCCTTCGTCACGTCCTTGGTCTGGGCGGGGAGAGCACAGGTGGGTGGGATTGTGCAGGGTGGGCCCGGCCTGGGCACTCAGGGGTGTCCCAGGGGTGTCCTGGGGGTGTCCCGGGGGTGTCCCGGGGGTCCCATGTCCCCCCCTACTCACCACCTGCACGCACTCCATGAGGGGCAGGCGCACGGCCTGGTTGCCCGACAGGCTCACCACACAGGCGGGGGTCTCGGGGGTCGCCTCCAGCAGGGCCATGACGGCCTCCACCCCCATCCTGCTGCCCTGTGGGCACAGGGGAGGGGGTCTCACCACCCCGGCCCCCCCTGCCCGCCGGGCTCGGGGTGGGACGGGGGGAGCTGCCTACCAGGATGCGGTCGAAGGCCGAGGGGGTCCCACCGCGCTGGACGTGGCCCAGGATGGTGACCCGGGTGTCGTAGCCCAGGCGCTTCACCACCAGCTGCAAGGCAGGGATGGGCCTGGGTCTGATCCCCCGGACAGGGATGGGCACGGATCGGATCCCCCGGACAGGGATGGGCATGGATGGGATCCTCCAGACAGGGATGGGCATGGATCATATCCCACAGACAGGGATGGGCATGGATCAGATCCCCGGACAGGGATGGGCATGGATGGGATCCCACAGACAGGGATGGGCATGGATGGGATCCCACAGACAGGGATGGGCATGGATCAGATCCCGCAGACAGGGATGGGCATGGATCGGATCCCCCGGACAGCGATGGGCATGGATGGGATCCCACAGAC